CTCGTTGCTTTGCTGAAATCGTAAGGCCTGTGTTTCTAGGGAGGCGGAAATGTAGTTAACAATGCCAACTACATTAATGTGATCTCCTTGCATATGGTTAGGGAGGGGGTTGCTATCTACATGTGCAGATTATTATCTTCCTAGGAATTCATCCAACTTCACCTTTGCTACGAAGATTTCTTGTAAAGTACTCCATCAGGTCACACGTGGTGTTTTGGTAGAATTTGCACCAATGCTTGTGATGTTTATCTCTCTCTAAGTCGATGTGGGGTGCAGGGGGAGATAGCCGAATTACCCTATCTTCTACCCACTTATTCATTATTAAAATTACCTATCCCTTGTTGGTTGTTGCATCCAAAAGGTTGAGATGGGGTGGTGGTGGTCCATCGTCTCTCTTGTCTTGTCGGGAGTAAGACCCGTGCCCGGGGCCTCTATTTGTACGCTGCCTCTTGTCCACAACATAGCTCTCCTGATACGAGTGCTTAAACTACTAATGCAAAGTGCCAATATGCTGCACTTTGGATGGATTGGACAGGCCAACAATATATATTGGATTTAACCAATTCGGTTCAAAATATTTATTAAATCGGATTGGACCTGATCCATCCGTAGTAAGTCAATATCTGATCCATTGACATAAGATAAGAATATATGTGTTAATGGATCAGGTTTGGATTAAAATCAATCTAAATTAAAATGAATTTGAACAGATTAGACAGTCCAGACATTAAATTGGACTGGTTCAAATTAATCCAAAACATTCATTGGAATGGGTTGGGCCAGATCCATTTATAATGAATTGACATTGGACTGGATCAGATTGGACCAAATCTAGTCCAATTAACACCCCTAACAAAGGGGAACATGTCAACCGTGCTCGTTGTTCTTTCTTTACACTTTTAGGAAGCACTTAAAATCCAAGGTGCTTTTTCTAATGGAAAAAAGCACATATTTATCAACATTGCTTGGTTAAACAACATTTTACGCCTATTAAACGCGATTTTCTTTGATGCCAAAAAATTGCCAAGTCCATCGAGGTTTTCATACATGTTCTATATAGTCTAATTGACTCCAAACCACGTTACTGAATATAATTTGAAAAACAAACCAACCTTTCTAATGACAATCAATCAATCAATCCATGCTCATTGTGTGACAAAAGGAGAAAATGTATGAATCATACCTTGTTCGTCGCAAAACCCACTGTTATAGGTGTTTGATTCGAAACAGATAAGCATAAAAGAAAAAAAAAATAAAGAAGGGGTGAGATGGAGTGGTGAGAATCAATATTCATTTAATTTTTTAAGAACAAAAACAAGAAAAAATGGCCAGAAATGGAACTTTGTTGTAGCCTTCCGTCACTCCAAGTAGTGAGAATGGAAAGGAAAAAGAGAGGAAGAAGATAGGGCGAGGGCTTTAGAGTAGATGGGGGCATTTTAGGTATTTAAAATATTTAAATGGGAAAAATTAGGATGAGAAAATGAAAAATCACTTCTTGGAATCACAAACTACCCGTCAATTGCTTTTTCAAATGGGCTTTTTCCACTACTACTTTTTCACCAAGCAATATTTGAGGCAAGGTTCTAAATATCAACAAAAGTCTATATGTTGGCATGGCATATTTGAATGGATGGGAGATCCATCATATGGATGGCCGAACCATGTAGGAAGATTGGGCAAAATTTCAAAAATTTCTTTATTTCCATCCGGGAATCCTATTCCTAATTTAGAAAACTGCATTTTCAAGGTTTGGTCTTGTAACCAAATCGGACCAAATCTAAAACCAAAATTAGGAAGGGATATACCTGATACGGAATCCACGCAAAAATGCTCCTCCCAATGTAGGTATTCATGCCAAAAGAGTGTACCAAATCCTCCCTCCACTAAAGATGACACAACTTGAGATAAGGCAGGATCAGCAGGTAGTTCTTCACAAAGAACTACTAATTCTTCAGCAAGAATCAAATGGGATAGGGAGCACAACTTCTAAATTGTTTCTTCTGRCAAGAAACAATATCAAGATCGAATCTTGATCAAATCTAAGAACTGGAGATCGAACAGCGTAGAGCGGCAAGAGCAGGAAGAAAAAGAGCTGAAGGCAAGATCAGTCTAATTGAGTTATCTTCTCTCTGTATTGAGTGAGTGTGTCTTCAAGGTTCGCCCTGCTCTCTTATTTATAGCCTTAAAGAGACAACTTCCTAATCTCATTAGGAGTTTCCTGATCCAAATCTTTATTTAGATCTAGACTCTTTAAGTGATAAGGATAATCCCTTATCTTATCTACAGATAATGATCAGCTTTCCTAATCAAATTAGGAGTTCCTTGATCCAAATCKTTATTTGGATCTGGATTCTTTTAAGTGGATAAGGATAATCCTTTATATTATTTGTTGATCCAAATCCCAAACCCGCCCCTATTTGATTAATCTAATTAACCCAGTTCGAAATGGGCTTTTAGGCCCATTAAGTTTTCAGGCCCACTTCTTATTTAATGCTGGCTAGATTGGCTCTCTTTGTATGGCATAGGGCCCTATCATTGATCTACACATCAGCCACATGGGTTCAGACTAGCCTTTGTTACAAGGCCTGTCCGAATTCACTGCTAAATACAGTGAACCCTGAGTCCATCACTATGGGCTCTTAATGAACCCAACATTTACACTAAATGGTCCTTGAGTCTAGTCATCTTATGAAGGCCTAAGGACTATGGGCAGATGCAAGATTAGCCTATCAGGTATAACTCTCAATGGTCTTACACTCAACCTCTCAGCCCATAATGATCAAACACTGCTCGACAAAAGAGGACATCTCCCTCGGTTGCAAGGTGCAGTGATGCACTCTCTACTCACATGGATCTCGGGAATTAAAACATTTTGCAAACATTTTGAAACCATAATATATATATACATATATATATATATATGTGTGTGTGTGTGTGTGTGTGTGTATGTGTATCTCTATATAAATATATGTGTATGTGTGTGTGTGTGTGTGTGTGTGTGTGTGTGTGTCTCTATATTGTGTGTCTCTATATAAATATATGTGTATGTGTGTGTGTGTGTGTGTATGTGTGTGTGTGTGTGTGTGTATGTGTGTCTCTATATAAATATATGCGTGTGTGTGTGTATCTCTATATAAATATATTTTGCAAAAACAAATTTCAAYGGTTGAAATCAATTGTCGGCAGTTTAGGTTTCCATTAGAGAGTGCATCGCCGATCATTCACTTTGTCCGACAAAGGGGCTTATCCTGTCACTATGATCACTCATTCAGATGAATTCTCGAACTATCCCAACATACCCAGGTTTTGACCCCCTCTAATGATCTCATTGATTGGCACATCAAAGACAGCTCAATCCGACACTTAGTGCAATATCATAATCGAGTCTAAGGGTCAGGTGTAACATTCCAGTTTTGCCCATYTATTTCCAATGTCCAGAGCAATACTGGATTTTTGGTCCGGTTCAARGTTTCAAGAAAACCCACACTACATGTACCTCAGGTCTCACCCTGACAGTTGAAACAAGCCACCCCAACCAACTTGACGGTACATCAGTGTCACTTGGTTAGGGATCGGTGACCTAGTAGGTGGTTAAACCATCGACCTACTTGGCCTGAATAATGGATTCATAAATATATAGTTTAAACCTAGAGATATTTTGATATAAATAGGTGTTATTTAAACAGTTTAAACCTGGTAGGATAAATCTCCTTAGATCTATCCAACGGCTGTAAAGATTCTAAACTAACATGAGTCTCATATGTGTCTAGTTTAAGGGTATTACGAAGAAAAACACCATAATAACATGAATCAAATATGTACTTTATTCATTTATAATAAATATCACAATGTACATCATGTTGATTGGAGCTAAGGACATACACTGTCTAACGTATCGGCCTATGTCGGTGCTTTTATTTTTTTCAAAATCAATTCAGAGGGATCGATTTAAATCCCGACTGCCCTCTAAACCAATACAATCCCTGTAAAAGCGTATCGGAAATCTACTGGCATGATACGTATTGATACTTTGAACCTTGATTTAAGGGAGTTCTTTTGACTTCTAAAACACAATAAGCACTAAAAGTACTTATTTTTTTTAAGCTGTGCCAATCAGAACCTTACTCTATGAAGGAGAGGTATAAATTGGATGGATTGGTAAAATTAAGGTCCAACCCAAGTCCATCCATGGACATTGGGACCTGCCACATACGAAGGTCAAAGGCCTAGTTTGCCAACTCAAAACCGACTTAACCTAAGCCTAATACAACCTAAAATTGGCTTAGGTGTTAATTGGTCTTGGGAAGATTGTTTAAATTTGAAAGTCTTTTCATTAAGTTGATCATTTCTAGCATGAAAGGGCCCACACGTACAATGGGGGCAACTGGTTCCCAAAACCCATAATTCACAACCCTGATGACACCAGGATTTTTTCCAAGTCTTGCTACAACCAGCCAGAGATTTTTCCAACTGAGCCTCTATCACTTGTTCTATCTAGCATTGTAGCTTGAACTCTGTTATTTCTTTTTTCGGTGAAGTCTTCTTCTGTTTGTCCAAAAGGAAATACAAAATCAAATTATCAGAATCTACAGTTTAGCCCTTTTAAACAGGGTCTTAAACTTGTTTCAGACTTTTAGCGATTTCTACAAAGCAGCTCAACTCAACTCAACTAATGCTTCACCTAGCCCTCCCAAACGGATAGTAACCTTAAGACAGGAAACGGGGCTTAAGTTTGGACAGAAATTGTTGCAGAAATCGTGACTAACTGGAGGTTTGGATTCTTCTGAAAATTAAGGATTGGAATGTATGGGCTTGATGAATGTCAATCGTAACGATTCTCCACGTGGCTATTATTTGGTGACGTTGGATCATAACTGAACGACACGTGGTGAGACTATCTTTCCTTTTCTCTAAAGGCAGGCAAACGTGTCACGAGAAATGATGCAGAAAGAGCAGGGCATTCGTCAACCTCTGAAGCTGGCCTCCTTGTTAGCAGCCACGTTGAAGTTCACTGTCTCTCTCTCTCTCTGCATGCATGATGCCGTCATTCAGTCACCGCTTAAGGTTCTCCTCAGCAACTATCAAGGGCTACATTCACAATCCACAGATCCTCCGATCAAACCTTGCTCATACCCTCACCATCTCTCTCTCTTGCAAATGCAGAGTTAGACGATGAGAACGAATCAAGAGAACTAGCTTCTTCTCTGTTTCCTTGGTTGTGTTGCATGATAGGATGGAAGATCAGCGCGAGGAAAAGGCAGTTCAAGAAGTACCATTCAAAAGTAGCAAAGTGAGTCAAATCTTGAAGAAAGGATGGCGGCTCGGGAAGAAAATTGCGATTACAGGAGTGGCGGTGTCATCTGTACCGTTTGTTCTGCCTCCTCTGGTGGTGTTCTCGGCGTTGGGGATTGTCTGTTCAGTTCCTTTCGGGCTCCTCCTCGCCAGCTATGCTTGCACAGAAAAGGCCATGAGTAAGTTGCTCTCTAGCCCTGTTTCTCCTCATCCACTGTTGGAATGCCATGCATTCCCTGCTGATGAAGGTGGTGATTGTAGACAACGAGTGAATATGGAGGAAGAAGAAGAGATTATGGAAGGCACAAAGACAAAGGTGGAAATGAGGATTAACTTAGATGAAGATAAGAATGGAGTGCGCGATGAATCAATTGGGTTTGCAGAAAATGAAAATAAGAAATCTCGAGGAGGTTTCAGAGGGGGAGAAGAAGAAGAATCACCACAAGACATGGATGGGCATGTAAAAGGGGAAGAAGAAGAATCAATGCAAGAGGAAAGTAAAGGTAATGAAAATTCTGGTGATATTATTAAAGAGGATGGCACTCAATTGCAAGCGACAGGGATAACAATTGGGGCGATGATAGATGAGAATTATACTGCTAGAATAGTAGAGACTAAGGTTACAATTGAAATAAGGGAAGAAAAAGAAAATCAGGGAAACCTTGTGGAGGGAGAAGAGTTTCCATTGGATGTGAATGAAGGAACGAAACAAGTTGTTGAGGAAAATGGTGGTGGAAGAGAAGCTGAAGAGACACCGGTATGGGTTCAACAAGGAGAAGTCACAAATGAGGAAAATACCAGATTTGTTATCCAAGAGGAGGGTACAGCACAAGAGATATGGAGAAGAATCGGGGAAATTGGGAAGGATGGGGATTATACTAATGGTGATCTTGTTATGGAAAATGAACCCTTAATAGAGACAAAGAGTACAATTGAAATAAGGGGAAGTGAAGAAAATGAGGGAAACCTTGTATTGGTGGAGGAGATACCATTTGATGTGAATGGGAGAGGAAAACAACACATTGAGGAAAATGAGGAAATAATAGTAAGGATAGCACAAAAAGAAAATAGGGTTGAGGAAAATGCGGAAATAATGGTAAGTGTAACACAAAAAGAAAGTAGAGTTAAGGAAAATGAGGAAATAATGGTAAGGACAACACAAAAAGAATGTAAGGATGGGGAAATTGTGGATGAAATCATTGAAGAGGAGGATATTCCATTGCAAGAGATAAGAACCATTGTGGGTGAGGGGGGAGATGAGGAGATAACATTAAGGGTGGCACAAGAAGCTAGCAAAGATGAGGAAAATGCTGGTGATACTATTGAAGAGGAGATAACTCCATTGCAAGGGATAGAGAGAACAATAGGGGCAAAATATGGTGAGGATTATACTATTAGTAATATTGTTATGGGAAATGAAGCTTTAATTGAGATTAAGGGAACAATTGGAACAAGGGGAGATGAGGAAAATGAGGGAAACCTTGCAGAGAAAGAAGGAATACCACTACTTGTGAACAAGGGAGTGAAAAAAGGTGTTGAGGAAAACTTGGATAGGCTTGGAGTAGGAATTGAGAAATCATCAACTGAGATTAAGGGATCAGTTGAACTCAGGGATGAGGAAAAGGCTGAAGAAGAGGACAGTCCTGAAATGGACACAATTGGAGTAAAAAAGGGAACTAGGGCTGTCTTTGTTTCCATAGAAAAAGAGGAGAAACTGCTAACAGGAGTAAAGGTAATTGAGGAAGAACATAGAAATGAGAATGTTGATGAGAATGTGCAAGAGGAGATGCCAACTGAAGAGATTAATGGTATAGTGAAGGAAATTGACCAAGAAAACCAGGAATTATCTGCAGAAGAATTGATAGGAATGATGGGGAGAAGAAAAGATGAGAAAAATGTGCATTATGTCCAAGAAGAGAAGGTCAAAGCAGTAAAATATGTGGGAGAAATGGAAAAAGAAAGAAGAGATGAGGCAATTGCGGATGGCATGGTAGACAAGGAGAAAAAACCTACAACAGAGACGAAGGTGTTGATGCAAGAGAAGAATTCTGAGGAAAATGTAGATATAGAAGATAGAGTCCATGTGAAGAAGATGAAAGAGAAGTCTCCTTCAGATGAAGAATATGCAAGAGAGGTTGCTGATGAACGTGGATTTGATGTTCTTGATGGAGATGATTCATTCTCCAAGAAGGTTCCTTCAAATGAGGTTAGGGTTAAATCCATGTGTTTCTTACATGAACCTTTCTGCTATGTGCTAGACTGGTACCTTACTACTAAATTGACCACTTGTGTTCTATGTAGTGTGCATGCTTAGATTTGTTCAATTCATGGGCAACTTGCTAGGATCTGGATATAGTGAATATCCAATCTAAGTGACTACTGCCTGGTTGGTTTTAGATCATCTAGGTTGAAGTTCATCTTGGAACTGGTAACAGTAGGGTACCCAGGTTCCTTATACCATGATAATATAGGTCTGTATTCAAATAGAGACTGAACCTTATATATATCTTCTTCACCGTATTCCTATTTGTGATTTATGAAGCTTTACAGTTAACATGTACATTTATAACATGCTCTTTTCTAAAATATGTAAATTAGATAAAATAGGTTCTTATTGTGATGGATGGCAAGAAACAGCCTACCTCTGCATTATAATACATGCTAGAAAATACTAAAGCTAATTATGGACCTCTTCAACGTAAGGAAGAAAATCTACTAAGTTTTTTTTTTTCTTTGCTTGGTAGCATTTAGCTTCAATAATCACATTTTATTGGAAACCTTTAGTAGTAAGCTCTATTCTCTGATTTGACCTTCATGAGCAACATTTCACCTTATATTTCAATTAACATGAGTTCATATTGTAGTGTCAACTGCAGGGTAAAGACTAAATTTTCAACTTTTATAACAGTAATCCCGTATGAACTCATCAACATTTCTTATCAGGATTAGGATACGACTTTGTCATGATTAGCCTTTCACGGATGTTTAATCATATTATAATAGTACCATGGCCTCAAAAGTTTTAACATCCCATGGATATTTTGTTTTCTTGCATCTGGTAAGCCATAAAAAATGTATGGCATATATTATCCTCTAAGACCATCAATGCAAATATATATCATCCACTAGCAATGATCTGAATCCTCTTTCTGCCATTAAGATGCTACAAAAACTTTTCCATATCACTTGATGAGTTGTGTGAAACCACTCCTCAGTAGCTCTACTTATTTTTCTAATCTTTTGTAGTATGGGTCCTTTCATTGTAGCTGTGGTAAGTCTTTTGCATCTCTGCTGGGTGATATCTATCAATTGGGTGTTAATGTTCATCATCCCTAAATAGGTATAATATCTCAATGTTAGTCAAGCCCACATTCTTTCTATCATTGAACTAATTTTCTAAATTTAAAGATGATCATCTAATGATCATATTGTGCAAAAACATTAGCAACTAGAGAGGTAGATTTTTTCAAAATTTTCTAGAAACTCTAATGCTGAAATCACACAAGACAAAAACCGGTTTTTCTCCTTGGATCATTTGGGTTCTTGCATCAAGAAAGATCAAATATTTTGGATCAAGATTGAGTAAACTACCTAATTATGATTTCCACGTGTGGAGAAATTGAAGTGGTGTTCACACCCAAGCTTGAATCTTCCCGAATCACTGCCACTGGTTGAAGATGGTGCAACTATGTGTTTGCAATCTTGGATTTCTTTTCCCGAATTCACAATAGGAAAGGTCCAATCTTTCACACGAGTGTGGGTGATATTATTTACCCAAAATTAGTCTAGAACAATGTTACAAATATTGTCTTGCAGGTCTGGTCTAATGGGGTTCAAAACCTTAGCTAAAAAGGTCTTGCAAGGTTAGATCAATTGCAACAATGATGGAGAGAACTTGCATGGTTTGATCCTCTCCTATTGCTCCCTATTTATAGACTGTGGAGGGATGCAAGAGCCATCTCCTTGTCTATCTATGACTCCTAACATGTTTATGATTAAGTTGGAAAGAGAGTCTTGATCTTGTGATCTATCTTTTTAGATTGGAATCTAACTAGCTAGTCAAACTAGCCAAATCCTAGTCATACTAGATTATCTACTGAATAGTTTGACTTGGATTCTCATGTCAGATTTTTAATTATCCATTAAAACTTTAATAATTCCAAAAACTCGTCTAATTGGGAGATCATATCTTGTATGGCATGGGACCTACAACTTAACGGGAGAGCCAACATGTCAAATGCTTTATGTAAGCTAGTGGGGCCAGCCACTTAATTATTTAATTAGCTAACAAGGATAATTCAACCTTAACTGTTATGGGATTAAGTTACCAAAAACACTAAGTATCTAAACACTTAAAACTACTTAGGACCTTATCACCCTAATGGCCCAAGTCATCTGGTTCAACCATTATGTGATAATCAAGTCAATATAGCTCAATTAATTAGTTGTAATTAATCTCTCTGGTAATAATACTTAACTCCACATTAATGGAAGTTACTTTTCTCTCATTGTCTTTATGACATGGTGACCAACTTTCAACACCATTGGATTCTTCCTTAAGGATTCAAATAATTCTACTGATGACAAATTTAAGACTCTAAGCAGGAAGTTGTATAAAGTGTTATTTGTGTTTTAACATAGTAGCAGATCCTATCACATTAATCATCAGTTGACATATCATCCTTGAATATCCCAACAGAATTAGATATTTGACCCATAATGATCTCATTGGTTGGCATATCAAAGATAAACAAGTCTAATACTTAATTTGATATCAATATCAAGTTTAGAGATTAAAAGTAACACCCAGTTATTCCAACTGTCATAAAGTACAAGCACATTCCTGGTTTGGTCTAGTTCAACGTTTCATGTAAACACTCACCCTTACACCTTAGGTTACAGCCCGAACAACTGAGACCCATTGTTCCACTACCTTAGCCAGTATGAGAATAACAATCTTATCAGGATAGACTTCCCCAAGTGTATCTATTGATTGTAATGATTTACGTCCATATTATGGCAATTATGTGGTCTCATACATAATACAATGCCCAGGTTGGTGAAAAACAGGTTACTAGATCCCAAGGGGGTCTAGGTATGTCTTTCACATCTCTTTAATTTATGAATATTTTATTCTGGAATGCAAGAGGACTGGGAAACAATCCCATAACCCATAGATTAAAAAGTTGAAAATTTTACATAATATTGGTGTCTCCCTTGCCAGAAATGGGAACAAGAGAGCCATCAACAATAGACATTTTGTCTCTTCCAAAGGATAAGTGATAGGTAGTAAACAGCGAGGACAAGCCAGTCATATGATCAGATGCACCTGAATCTATCACCCAACAAGGTTAAGTGTTACTTGGGGCTGAAGCATGATAAGCTGAGGCCCATGTACCTGAATGAGCAAAAGCTGAAGTGGGAGGAGCAGATGTTGTGACTGACGGCTGAGATAATGGTGCTGAATTACCAACTTCACTCTCCAACTGAGTCAGAGCAGCCCGGACAGCAGCTAAGGTGTCAAGGGATGTAGCTCTTATGCCCGATGAGGTTGCACAATTAGTAGTAACAGCTACATTGGCATTTCCCTTTTTGTTTCTAAGTTTTGTTGGAACTAGATGTGGATGTAACTTCCAACAAATGTCTTTAGTATGTTTAGGTTTCTTGCAATGTTCACATACTAGGTTCCTCTTATCTTCCTTCTTCATATCCCTCTCCTTATCACCCCCAAACTTTGGTTTAACTGTTGCCAAGGCTGATTCAAAAGGCTGATGCTGCAACATAACCTTTCTCATACTCTCTTCACTGGCACTGAGTAGGCTTGTGATAAGGTCACACTTTCTCTCGTGAGAAGTTGTTGTCTCACAATATCATATTCAGAATTCAGACCAGCTAGGAATTCAAACACCCTATTAGTTTCAACTTGCTTTCTGTAAACCTGTGCATCCTTTTGACTTTCCCACTCAATTGTTTCTAGGTGGTCAATTTCATGCCACAAGGATTTCAAGGTTGAGAAGTAAACTGAGACTAGTTTCTCTCCTTGCTTAAGGTTAATAACTTCACATTTCAGCTCATAAGCCCTACCAACATTAAGGGATTGGGAGTAGATTTCTTTCATGATGTCCCAAATTTCCTTAGCTGTTTTTGCCCACAAATAGTTTCGGCTGATATGAGGCTGCATAGAGTTGCACAGCCATGTCATAACCAAATAGTTCTCCTGAACCCATTTGGCATAGGTTGGGTCTTCCTTAGTTGGTTCCTTCACATCCCCAAACAAATAATTCAGTTTCCCTCTACCCCCAATGGCCATCATGGCTGATTGGGCCCACTCCAAGTAGTTTGATCCRTCAAACTTAACAGTGGTAATCTGAAAATTGTTCTCAGGCATGCTACTAGAATCACCAACCCCCAAAAAACCTTCCCCTTGATTCTTAAACTCCATTGTTGTCAGCCCTTCTCAAGTCAAGGTCAAAAAACCCCTTTTAGAACTGAAATAGGTGAAGTTACACCCAGAATTTGCTTAACAGCTGACCTAGAAGGTTCAGTCACTACCCAGAAATATTGAATCAGGTTTGTTAGTTTTCCAGAAAGCAGAAAACTCAATCTTGAATGCTGAAACTGGTCTAATTATTGCCCTAGAATTGGCATCAATCATAAACTTTAGGGTTTCAATCGTAGAACTGATCGTAGGTCAAGAAAGAAACCCTAAAAACTCAGGAGAAAACTAAAGATCTTTCAGCCGCACCTCCCAGATTAATAATAAAGATTTTGTTTTAGGTTTGATCTCAAGAACAAATATTAACTTACTCAGAAAGGTCTAGCTTCCACCTTCAAACCAAGGTCTGAACCCTAAAACTGAGATTTCTTCCCTTCTTTTGATTCTTCCTGATCGCTGAACACTCTCCAAGGCCCTACAAACCCTTGGGCAACAATTGCACACTGCCAGCAACCTCCAAGAACCAGCCGATGAATATATCTTTGCTGAAACTTCCAACCCTAGCAAGTTCTCATGTAGTCAGCCTAATTAGACTAGCATGAGAATTCCTAGGTTGGCTCTGATACCAAGTAGTCGAATAGGACTACAATCAGTACTAGGTATAATGTGTAATAAACAAAGAAAACAGATTGAGAAGGAGAGAAGAAGAGGAGAAGAAGAGAAGGAGAATACAAAGAGAAGAATTCAGAAAGAGTGTGTCGACTAGAATTGTCGCCCCACTGCTTACATGGCAAAAGAGTAAAAGGGCTGAAAGAGTGTGTCAACTATTTATATTAATAATAAAATAAAGAGTAAAAGGGCTGAATTACCCCTACTGCTTACATGGCAAAAGAAATAATAAAAGAAGTAATAACTACCAACTGAAATAACTGCTAACTGAAACTAACTACCATCATAAATAAACAAACACAGTGGGGACCACATAAATAACATAGTGGGGACCACATTAATGTTCTCTACACTCTCTATTTACAATGATGGTCTGTTCTGGAACATTCGAGGGATAGCAAATGATCCCTCTGTTATTCGTTTTAAGAAACTTTGTAAATTGCATAACATAGGATTAGTATCTGTGGTTGAATTTATGGTTGATGAAAACAAATTATCTATGGTAGCTAGAAGACTGAATATGTCAGATTTTTTTGTCAATGTTAGTAGGAAAATTGTCTTGTTTTGGAATAGCTATTTCTCTATCTAGCTTGTTGAAGACTGTGAACAGGTGTTATTTGTGAGGGTCCACACTCCCTCTAGTGACCATTTTAACTCTATGGTCTATGCCAAATGTGAAAGATTTGAGAAAAGGGAATTATGGGATGGAATTATCAGTTTGGCTTYGGTGATTTCTGAGCCGTGGTTGTTTTCTGGTGACTTTAATGTGATTACTTATAGTTCAGAAAAAATTGGAGGCAAAAATCTGGATGTTCATGCAATGGTCGAGTTTGTTGATATGATTAATATGGTGGTGTTGTTGGATACTGGTTATACGGGTAGCAGATTCTCTTGGTGAAATAACAGAGAGGGGACTGACTGTGTATGGGCATGACTTAACCTGTGTTGGTTAACACTAGATGGGCACAAAAGTCTCCTTTAAAGCTTGTTACTCACCTAAATAGAACTTGCTCAGATCACTGCCCACTTATTTTCTTAGTTGAAAAAGAGGTTCAGATTGGCCCTAAACTGTTTCGGTTTCAGCAGATGTGGTTACATCGTGATAGCTTTCAAAATTTGGTGTGAGACTGTTGGAGTGAGGAAATTCATGCAAAGCCACTAATGAAACTTTTCCTTAAGTTGCATAAACTGAGGACTAAGCTCAAACAGTGAATCATGATGTGTTTTGGAATATCCAGTAGGTTGTTAAAGATGTGGAGGATAGAGTTCACAATGCTGAAATGAATCACCTACACCTTAATTCTGAAAATAGTCTTGCTCAACTAAGGGATGAAAGGAAAAGATTCCATGAGGTGAACAAGTTAGAGGAAATCTTCTAGAGATAGAAAGCCAGAGTTAAATGGTTAAAGGAGGAGGACGGAACTCCATATTCTTTCATTTATCTATCAAGGTGAACAGGGTGTGCAACAAAATTAGCAGAATAAAAGATCGGGCTAGCATCCGGTTAACTGACATGGCAGAGATTAAATCCAATGCAGTGGACTACTTTGCTAATGTGCTTTCAAAAGAAGGTGTGGAACCTGATGATGAGTTTCTTGATGTTATTTGTAGTTTGGTGAGACAGGAGGAGAATGATCTTCTAGTGGCTATAACGTCAGCTAAGAAAATCCAGATGGTGGTGCGGTCAATGGATTGTGACAGTGCCTTGGGTCCAAATGGTTTGACTGGTCACTTCTATATTGAGGTAAGGTTTTCTTCAATGGGGGTAATCTGCCAGTGAGTTACACTTACTCCTTTATTACACCTATCGCTAAATGTAAAGTCCCAGAATCATTTATCGATTTTCGTCTTATAAGTTTGGGTAATTTCTGTTATAAGACTATAGCTAAGGTTCTCACAAGTAGCCTTGCTTTTCTTCTGCCTAGACTTATATCAAATGAGCAAGGTGCCTTTGTCCAAGGAAGAAACATTATGGACAATGTACCTTTGGTTCAGGAAATTGTAAACGACATTGACAGGAAAGTGGTGGATGGCAATGTGGTGTTAAAGATTGATATGGCGAAAGCCTATGATAGGCTCAACTGGAGTTTCATGTTTGTAGTTTTGAGGAAGTTTGGCTTTTGTGACAAGTGGATATCCCTGGTTAAAAAAAACTATAAAACAATTTTTTATTTTCAATGTTGTGGAATGGTCGTGCAACTGGATATTTCAAATCCACGAAAGGGCTTTGGCAAGGAGATCCCTTGTCACCCTATTTGTTCATCCTAGAAGAAGTTCTAAGTAGAAATCTTGCAAAGTTGAGTGCTGAATAGTTGGAGGGAATTTTTGTTAGAGGTTGTCCAATTATTGTTCATAGCCTATATGCCAATGACACCATTGTGTTTACTCGGAGAACAAGGAGGGTGTTGGACAAGGTAATGGAGGTGATTAGAAGATATGAAGGCTGTTCTGGACAATTGGTGAGTAAAGCCAAAAGTTGCTTTTTCACCTCGGCGAGAACTACTCATAGTAGGATCCAGATACTAGTATTGCTACTGGATTCATTCATAAGAAGCTCCCATTTATTTACCATGGATTCAGTCATAAGAAGCTCTTTGCTACTGGATCCAGATATTTAGTGCATGCGACACAAACCAAATAGTGGCCAATATCTACCTTACAAATGTGAAAACAAGTTGTTTTTGAATGTATCTTTTTGTTGATTTCAGAAGCAAGGTTATTTTTCTGAGTCAAACCAAAAATGTTTTTACTTTATTTTGAAAAGTTGCACATCTATGGATGTGCTTTTGTTTTTGTTTTATCTGATGTTGAATTTCTTAGAAACAGGACAAGCAAAAACACTCACGTTGAATTACAAAGTTTAGTAAACTAACTATGACCTCTCTTGCACTTGATAATTAAAATGTCTAATTGTTTAGCAGTGATCAATTTTTCAATTGTGATTTAATTTGTAACAAGGTTACCTTGAATAAAGCAAATTGTTAATTATCTTGGAAAATATGTTAATTGAAATAAATTGATCATCTAGTAGATTGGTTTAAGTAATCTAACATCATACAGTAATATCTCAGACTCAATTTTATTAAAGGATAGTGTGATTATACATGTGTTTTATTGTTATTTTGAACTCTATAATTTTGAAGATACAATTGGTAAAAAGAGACGACCTTAGAATCTTTAGTTCATTGGCTCAGGGTGATGCAAGTGCTCAGTCTGGCATCATAGATACCTATTTATGAAATAAAAGTTGTAAAGCTCGGGAGTTCTATGGAAATAAGGCTGAAATATCTTTTGGCCTGGAATTTGTGTTCAAATTGCATTCAAAATTATTTGTGTGGATATTGTGCATGATCATATTTCCAATTCAATGCTACGTATCCAGGAAATAGGGCCTGCCCTGATGGATAATATGTTTGTATCAAGATTTTAATTCTTTTTCTGTTCTATGGGGAGGATGAAATACCATTCATCTGCACCGTTTTCTTAAAAATGTTACTATACAAACCTCTAGACCCAACCCCCCAAAAAATTTAAAATGCAAAAAGAAAAGGGCATGTGTAATGAGAGGTGTCCATCATGAGTTGGAACCTGAAAGTCAATTATTCTCATCTTAGACTGAATTTGAACTTGTAGGATCATAATAAAGCAACTTTTTTTTTTTTTGGGGGGGGGGGGGATGGTGATGGGAATAGAGCTCAAGTAATTAATACAAAGAATCCAAGATCACATTGTAAGGATAAAATAAATAAAACTAGAAATAGCTAAGACATTATACATATAGCTGACTATTATTTGTTTTTCTATCATTCAGCAGGTTTTATGCAATGAGGAGAAGATATGGAAACAGATTTATGCAATCCGAAAAATAGTGGGTTACAAAGAGCCACTCTATCCAAGCTGCACAGAGGAGCTCAAGGCACTTTATGTGTTCACTGGAGTTGAGCCACCAGCCTCATTCAAGGAGTCTTCTGATCTTGTGGAAGTAAACGACAAGCTTCAATTCCTCATGTCAATTGTTGGAGTCAAGTAAATTTTGGTGCGCTTAATAGCAGCTGAAATATGATCACTTAATTTTCTTTATCAGTTAATCCATTGACATTGAAGACTTCAGAACTATCTAAATATGTTTTGGTAAGGTTTCTCTACCAATCTTTGCTAGGTAAAACTTCACAAATCTTCTAGATGTTTTTTGATTAGTAATGGTGAATAATTTTGTTAATTAGAAATGTGTTAATGTATAAATAAGTGGAGGGATGGCCAGCCTCGACTAACCATCTATGTGAAAGTCAGTATCAAATACAAATCCCCTCTTCCTCTCTTGTTGTATAATTCCTCAATACATTGAGTTCATTGTCAGCCCTTGTTTTTCCTGCCCATTTGTTGGACCAGTAGCAGTCCTAGGTGTCCACTGTATGGTTGCTCCCTGTTCCATTATTTTCTCTTTTGTTCAGATTGCATCATCTTATGTTCCAAGATAAATAAAAGTTTGTAATTCCAGGAAACTCAAGGATACCTTCTTTTTATTCCCATGGTGTGACCGACTTGTTTAGTAAGTTCTACATCCAATTCTTTTGAACTTTCTGAATAAATAAGTTAGGCTCAAGTTTACCAACTTATACATTCTTTTTTTTTAGTTTAATTGTTTATTGTATAAAACGACTTGGGCCAAAGATTGGGTCTAGGGATACAAGACCTCAGAGAATTTGCAGCAATTTAATTTCAGTCAAAGACTTGCAACATTGTGACTATTGTTGGAAGGGTTAGAAGTCATACTAGACATGACCAAACCAATCTAGTGGCAGAACCATTTCTCAAAAGATCGATCTTGCACTGAACCGGATTAGACTTGAAACCCGAATTAAAATTAATTGTATCTAATACGGTGACCATAGTGTACAACTCCCAAAGTAGTAGTCCATGCCCAATATCAGACCTAAAATCGGCCTCCAACTGGAGATGGTGCAGTTGTGTGTGCAAAGGCGATTCAGCAATACCATTTCAACAAAATCGATTCCCGACTTGCTTGGATCAATTTGGTTGTGTGAATCTAGTATCTTCTAATGTTTTTCTTCCAAAAACATAATAAATAACTGATGAGAATGAGCCTCTAACACAACCGGTTCGAACTAGGGTTTGTGGGAAGCAAGGGAGAAGAGAAAAGAGCAAGAAGATGGAGAAAATTGAGTTAATTGTTCCTCCCCTCTTTGTTCCTTATATAAAGCACTCTCCTATTAGTAGTTGATCCAAATCATATTTGGATTAGGAATTCTATTTTTAATTAGATAAGCATTATCTTCTTAAGAAAATGGGTGCTCAATACTTAGATTCATACCCATTTTTTATCTTAATCAAATTGTCATGTGATTATTTAACTAATTATATTAGTAATGAGTCTTAGGCACATTTTCTGTAATGGTTCACGTCCCAAGGGGTTGCATGGCCACTTTAGGCCTAAATATTGTAAGATGTGAGACCCACAAAGGTCTTACATAAGTCCATATTAGTTTGGCCCCATCTCTTGGAAGAGGTTATGGGAATTCACTACTCAAGGGTAGTGAATCCTTGACTCAATCAGATTGGGCTCAGTTTAAGCCTAACTTTACTCATAAATAAAGCTTGAATTTAACCACCCTATAAAGACCCAAGGACAATGGACTTATGCAAGATGAAGTCCATCAAGTAATCAACCCTATAATGGTTTATTACACCTAACATCTTAGTCTATAATCATTAAAACACTAGTCAAAAGGAAGGACCTTTTCTCTGATTACAAAATGCAGTGTTACACTCTTTGCTCAAATGAATCTTGAGATTAAAATCTTTTGCAAACAATTTTAATAAAATAGTAATATAAGATATAAATACATTTTGCGAACCAGATTTCAAATACAATTGAAATCCATTGTAGTAGTTTAGGTTTCCATCAGATTGAGTGTAAATCCTGATATTCACTTTGCCTAACAAAGGGGTCGATCCTATCATTATAATCACCCACTCAGGTAATTTCCTAAACTGCCCCAACATATCCAAATATTGGACCCCTGATGGATCTCTTCGGTTGGTATATCAGAGACAACTTAGCACAAAACCAAGTGTAACACCATAATCAATTTTGAGGTTAAATGCAATTTTTTTGTTTTGCCCATCTATATCTAAGGTTTAGGGCATAACTAGAAATTAATCTGAATTCAGTGTTTCTTCCAAACACCCATTAGCTGTACTTAAGGTTTAACCCTAGTAAGTTGAGACAAACTATTATACCAATTCAATAGCACACCAGTGTCAGCCTTGTTAAGATAAACTTTCCAACTCTACATTAACTGAGAACATTTTATAGGGAGGGTGGTAAGGTAACAAGAAATGGTCTCCTCGAAAGACAAAGATGACCAAGAATTAGTGGAGGCAGCACCGAGGAGTTGTGTAAGAAAGGGGATTGCAATAGGAGTAGGAGGCAAGGGAGCTCGAGAAGTAAGGAAGCTGAACAAAGCATTTGTTCCTGCAATGAGCTAAATGCACCACCGAAAACTAGTCAAAACTATAGTGAACGAAGTATGTCTCCCTATTCTCTACGATGAGTTGCAGTAACTCGCTCTCTCATGACAACCAAGTCATTTAGACATGTCAACATCTTCAAAAAACTTTGTTCCCAACACGTGACTGCGGGCAAGCTCATGGTGTAAGCGGGATGGTGAGGTAGCGAGGGTTGGTCTTCTTGAAAGACGAAAATGATCACAAATCACTAATGATGAGGTAAGAAAAGGGGGAGGTGTAGGAAAGAGGGATTGTTGAAGTAATGGCCTGATGGAGAGCAAGAGGACTCGAGAGGTTATGGAAGCCAAGAATCCAAAGACATGTCTCACGTATGAGCTCTTGTCTCTCTACCTTCTACAGATGAGGTCCCGAGGATATAAGGAGAAACATTCAAATAAGGGCTTTTCCCTTTAAGGAAGGAGAATCACAATTCTCTGGCCTTTATTATGTGGACTCCACTAGGCTTTCGCTACATATCTAGTGAAATCTTTTGGAACTAGGATTTCTCTTTCCCTTGGGATTCTTACTTGGTACATTCACCTTGCCTTACCTCCAATGCCTGTGCCAGGAGAAGGGCAAGTACGTGCTCCAAGAAATTCACGAAGGCATCTGTGGTAACCACCTTGTTGGTCAAGCTCTAATTCAGAAAGCACTAAAGTATGGGTATTTTTGGCCGACACTCCAAAAGGACGCAGCCGAGTTGGTACGGAGATGCGACAGATGCCAGAGACATGCTAACATTTTCCACCAGCCGGTCACAACCCTCTCAGCTCTCAGCAGCCCCTGGCCCTTCACCAAGTGGGGAATAGACCTCCTCGGCCCCTTTCCTCAAGCAATGGAGGGCAGGAAATACCTCATCGTCACTGTCGACCACTTCACTAAGTGGGTCGAAGCCAAACCCTTAGCCACCATCACAGCTTGGGCAATTTAGAGCTTCTTTTGGAAGAACATTATTTGCCACTTCGGCCTCCCCAACATGCTGGTAACTAAAAACAAAAAACAATTTGACGATGCCAGGTTTCGGGAATGGTGCGCCTCCCTTGGCATCAAGCAGCAGTACACCTCGATAGGCTATCCCCAAACAAATGGCTTACCCAAGGCCACCAACAGAACCATCTTGGATGAACTGAAGACCATATTAGACCGAGCCAAAGGCCTATAGGCTGATGAGCTGAGAAGTGTCCTCTATGCATACCGAACCACACATCGGGCAGCCACGGGAGAGACCCCGTTTGGCCTGACCTACGGTACAGAAGCAGTTATCCCAGCAGAAATTGGCCAGCCGACACTCCAGATTGAAGCGTACAATGAGGCTGAGAACAGTGAAGGACTAAGAGCAAAACTACATCTACTGGAAGAATCCCAAGAGCAGGCACAAATCAGGGTGGCCGCCTACCAGCAACAAGTGGCCCGCTACTACAACTTGAATGTGAAGGAAAGACACTACCGAAAGGGAGACCTCGTCCTCAGGAAAGTCATCGTCCTCGAGCCCGGGGTACGAAAGTTGGGCCCCAACTGGGAAGGTCCCTACAAGATCAAGCAAGTCCTCGGCCTTGACACCTATCGCCTGGAACACCTAAACAGAAGACCCATCCCTCGAACGTGGAACCTAGAGCATCTCCGAATGTACTACCAGTAGTTGTATATTTTGATGGCCAAACGATGAATGGATAATGCAAAGTTCCCCTTCGGCACAACATTTAGCATGTGTTCTCACCAAGCCCGTAGGACACCTCAGCTTCGCGACTGGTTGAGGCGCATAGCCTCTTCCGAGGACCATGTGCTCGTGTCGGACCGTCGCCAGGGCACATAGTCAATGGCAAACACCCAAACTTAACGCCTCACCAAACGGAAATACATCAGGACAGCCGAGGCATCGTGCGCCTTGCTACCCTCCTCGACGGCGGACGACATCCTGGTCTTATATACTTAGCGCGACTAAATAGATGATAACCTTGACCAACTCAATGGTTCGCCTCACCCAAGACCCCAACCTCTCCGGTAGGGTCACCTCGGCCTCGCCGAAGCAACCACTTGGGAGATAGGACAGGCAAGCTACACCTCAGCCTCAACTTCTTCCCCATACTTTGGTAGACCACCTCGGCCTGGCCTAAGTAAACACTTGGGAGAAAAATGAGCCAGGCAAGTTGCACCTAGGTCATACACCTTTGCCTCGGCCTCGGCCCCTCAACAACCTAAAGCGAGCGTATACCCAAAGCGAGCCATTACGAGCCATTTTTTGAACCGTGATCTCTTCATTGGGAGGGGCAGGGACCCCTCGATAAAAAAAAAGAAAAGGAAGAGAAGAAGAGAAAGAAGAATGAGAGAACACCGTACAAAAACTACTTTGATCATTCATTCATTCATCTCGAATAAAGCATGTACAAAAATGTGTGGCCTTAGCGGTCGAGCACATTTACATCAGAAAGAAAAGCAAAAAACAACAAAAACAGGGAGAAGAACCCCACTAAGCTTCA